GAGTGAACAAAATTAAAGAGTGGAAATCTGTAAACAGAAATGTTTATTCATACACATGAATGAGTGATTGTGGTCTAATACATTTTTACAGTATTATGATTTCCAAAGTCTTCAAAGCATGGTGATGACAAAAAAAGTCCCCATGTTTGTTGGTAAAGGTTTCTATGTGTTCCTTATTTCATGAAACTTTTATGCACTATGAAATCATGAGAGTTGCTGTATGTACCTTCTTTTTATTTTGGTCAGAGTTACTGAGGAGTAAACTTCTTTTAAAAAAGGAAGGTTTCTGAGATATTTTTTAAACTGAGGCATAGCAGTTTGTTCATTATTACATTTGATACAGGTGATTAAAAAGAGTGCAGAACCAATTTAAAAAAAGCTTCATATAGGACTAAATACAATGCTTCTTTATTATAATTATTAGTGAAAGTGCATTTGGATATTTTTCTACTTCTAGTTTCTTTTTAGTCATATGTTGATGTCACTAACCTGATTTGAAATGAAGTAGTATCTACCAGTTATCACAAATACTTTACATTTAATGTTGAATTATTAGATGATATTAATTTAGTGGTTTTACTTCCTCCTACCCTGCTGCTCCATCTGCTTCATATTTTCCTACTAGGCAATTTTCTACCTACCTTTTTAGGCTAATATATAGAGTGTAGGGAAACAGCAAATCATTAAATACATAGGGAAAATCTTACTTTGGGAAGATGGAAGAACTGAAGTCAATAAAAGACTATCTGAAGTGAGAAAATGAGAGATTTATGATATATATTCACAATGACAATAGTTTAACTGAGTGTAACCTTTAAACTAATTTATTGAAACTGATACCTTGAATGTAGATGTCCAGACCTTAGTTGTTACCTGATTTGCAGTAATTAACATACTATCAAAAGTTAACATTTTTAAAAAGAAATTTTGTAAATTTTTAAAATTTCAATTTAAATGCATTTCTTGTGTATTGGCAAGTTGTTCTAGCTGTTGAGGGGAGGAGTGAGAAAAATGCAGGCAAAGTATTTTTCAGATAAAATATTTTACAGGTAAACACAGGTAAAGGATTTTTCAAAAATATCACTATATAGATCATCAACCTAGACAAATAAAAAAGCCAGAAAATCTTGTAGCTATTTGCCAACACAGCATGTTAGAGTGTTGAGTGGTTTTTGGAACATCATTATGGAGTTCTTTTCTATTCCAGTTCCTCGTTCCTCTTTGAAGACAGCTTTATCCCTCTTTTTTGAAAGTGATGCTTTTGCTTTTAAATTATAAATGGGTTAAAACCTGTTTTTTTTTTTTGAAGTCCTTCTTTATGTAACTCTCTTGGAGCTGTTGACTACTGATGTGCAAAATTAATCACTGTGCTTAACTCTAAAATTACTACAAATATCTACAAAAAGGTGGATGCTTGAGAACTAAAGTATCAGGTTTCTGGAGGTTTAGCAGTTTGGGAATTCATGATTAAAATGGCTTCACTGGTCCTGAAAAGACACAATTTTATTTAAGAATTACTGTAAAAGAATAGGAAAAATTATTTACAGCGCTCAGAAAAATGTGAATTTCCAAACAGTACAAGTAAGAGCTATTGGAACTGAATGTTCAGGTGATTATAAAAATGTTGTCTAATGGAGGCATGTTTTTATTCTTATTATTAACAAGAATGGAGTTATTTTACTTGATCATCACTTCCCTTACATGTTTTTATCTTCTTATTTTGATAACACACAGAAGGCTGAAATACTTAATCTTACAGTTCTTGTTAGAGCACAGAGCTGGTACACTGGCTTTACACAAGCTCTGGTGCTAGAGAGATATCAGAGAAGTGGCGTGGGCTCTAGGGACTTCAGTTTCTGTAACAGAAAGAGTGAAATAGGCTGCGACAAGCTTGAAGTGATTTTCATTTACAGTGGCAGGTGAAAACTGTGGTATTACTGGACCAGGGGTAAATTAAATGAGACAAGCAAGAGCCACGTTGTCAGTGGCACAAAAACCTGTCTTCTTGACATTTCTGATTGAGAGCTTTTTTATCTACTCAGAAAAGTGGAGGCCACTCTTATCAAAGCCAAATTAGGAGTAGGGTTGCATGCTTTCTGGATGAGGGACACTGTATATGCTGGTAGTATCAGCTTGGTTTTGTCATGTCTGAACGATTCTTTTGAAGTATGGAAGTTGTGACTTAAATGCTCCTCTGCCTGAGTCCAGCCAGCACTGGGCACTTGGAATAAAACTCCCCTTTACTCAGCATGGGATTTAATTCTCAAAAATTCATTCCAAAGACAAAACCCATGAAAGTCTCACTGTGACAAGTGAGCAGGCTGCTGTGGAAAACCAGGAGCTCAAGCAGCTTTCCAGAACTCATGACCAGTTGAAGAACTGCAGTTTCTAGGATAGAATGTCTTTCCTTTTAGCAAATATGAAATTTGTTTTTGATAGGAGAGAGCATTGAAAATGGAGCACTGACATCTGAAAGGAGCACAGCCGTTCCTTGTGAATAGATTGCCTCAGGGAAAAGGCAGATGAACGTCCTGTCACTATTTTTGTTGCGGTCTCTTGAGGGCAGTCGCAGGCTGCAGCACTGGCCACAAGGAAAATGCTAGAGCTGAGGCTTCTGATGTGAAACCTTGCTATTACTGCTTCTGCTTAATTAATAGAACAAATATTGGTAGAGGTTTAAAATATAAATATTATTAGTGTTATGCATGAGACTTAAAATTCCTCCGGAGTAAACACCTGGTGAACAAATATGTAGCCCCTTTGGTTTCAGTGGAGGTGTCCTGGATTATAGCAATTGAGAAAAGAGGGGTTTATGTAGAAACAACTGATGGACCACAGGGAGAATAAGCAGTTTATAGGAAGCTGTAGGGAAGATGGACAATCTGAATTTAGATACTCTGCCTTATTACACTGAAAGAAAAAATGCAGTTACAAGATCATTATTTAATGTGGATACACACCAGTTAACTAAAAGACACTGGGTTTAAGTGCTATGGGAGCTGGGAGCTTTAGCTGTTTGCTAAGGTGAATTCATTCCTCCAGGTGCTTTTTCTTTGATGTTTCCCATGTTACCCCAAGCCAAACGTGTAAGGATGTGCTGCTGCTTCACTGTGAGCTGCGCTTATGCTGGGGATGGGGTGAGATCCTGTTGCTGTCCACAGTGATCAAGCAGGGGACAGCAGATTTCCCTTTGCAATAAGAAACTCAGCGTAAGCAAAGAGAAAGCCAGAAACGACCAGCAGTGGAAATGTATTTACCATTATTTGAGGTAAAGGCCTGTGAATGTATCTGGAGGATTTTGCTGAACTTTTGTTATCATGTTTTTGTGGTGACTTCAATTTACCAAGTTCCAGATAATCTCTTTAATACTGATTAAGTCAATATAGCAACAGCATCTGTGAGAGGAGGAAAACCAAACAAACAGAAAGATTAGCCTTTGCTAGCCTTTCTTTCTGACTGTGGTAGAAGACAGCTTCACCTGTTATTCTTTGCTCTGAAGTTGTATAATGTGTTAAACCCTTATGTCAGAGCATCAACATATCTGTGTATGGCTCTAGCAGGTGTACTGCAATTTTATCACATGTTACTGTCCTCACTTTGATCCTGCACTCATCTGTGTGGGCACTAAGGTCTGGACTGCCTCACAGGGCTGGCCCCATAGCGACTCCTTGAAAACAGGAATGGCAGAGGACAGTAAGTGGGAACTGGCATTTTTCTGAGTTATACCAGTATGTATCTCAGACCAACAGGAAGACAGATGACAAGCTCTTTTTCATTAGTGTAACTCTTCAAAAAATATTTTGCTAGGAAAAGCTGAGCAATATCCTGTTGACGATTTGTCACAGCAAGTATGTCTCCTTGCTGAAGATTTTATACTAACAATTGCAGTTATGTTCAGAGTTGACACATAAGATACCTGAAATGAAGACTCTCTTAAATTTAATAACCCACTTCCTGACATTCATGAGAGTTCAATCTGTTGTAGTTTAAGGGAATTTAGCCCTTTACTCTCTTGTATACATTGCTAATTTCTCAGCTGCACAAATTTCTATAAAGTTTACAAATACACTCAGTGAGACAGATTGAGAAAGGTGGAGGACAGGGATGGAAAATAAAAGTAGAATGATTGTGGAAAGCAGAAAGAAAGAGATAATTTATTTGGCTCATCACTACATAAAGTTAGGATTTAAGTGGTATAAATAAGTTTTAGAATTAAGTGCATACATATATATCTCATGCATTCTTGTCTCTACTTATTAGTTATTCTGATGCTCTCCACACATTTCTCTCTTTTTTTTTTTTTGTTTATATTTACTGTTCTGTACCCCTTGTTATTAAGATTTCCTACCTTGGTTCCTCTGTTGCAAAGTGTCATGAATAATATTCTGGAACAAACCTTATTGAGCAAAGTCACATTTACAAAATTTAGAGCACCCTTGCTCACCAATTGCATTTGCAATGTTGTGACATTCTCACATTTGGCTGAGTCCCTCAAATGAATAAAAATTGGTTTCTAGTTCTAGGCTGTGGTTTCATCTGTAAATTGCACAGAATCACAGAATGGTTGACATTGGAAGGAACATCTGGAGGTCTTCTGGTCAAATCCCTTTCCAAAGCAGGGCCACCTAGAGACAGTTGCTGAGGACTGTGCTGAGAAGTTTTTAAAATATCTCTAGGGATGGAGACTTCAGAATTCCCTGGGCAACCTGTGCCAGTGTTCAGTCACACTCACAGTGAAAAAGTGTCCTGTTGTTCAGAGGGAGCCTCCTGTATTTCAGGTTGTGCCCATTGCCTCTTGTCCTGCCACTGAGCACCACTAAAAAGAGCCTGGCTCCATCTTCTTTGTACCATCCATTCAGAAAAATTAATTGTTAATCCAGAAAATAAAATAAAATTCTCCCTGTCCTTCCTCAACAAAACATCTTACAACCTTGCAAAGAGCTCACAGGTGCCTGCTTGGATACTGAATTTCTAATACTGTCTCCTGTTTCGTTTTTCAGATGGGCCCATCTTTTGGTAACTCAACATTCCAGTCCAAAATAACAGAATCAGCTGATATTGTTGTTGGAATATGTTATGTGGTATTTGGTAAGTATGATTTCATGGTATAGAGCTTTGGCTGTATTTGATATGGTAAGAAGACTTGACTGTAAAAGTAAAATTTGTTTCTGACACAGATGAACTTCTCTATTCATAAAAAGGAAAAAAAAAAGCATAGAGTAAAATCATCAAAAGGTTTTTAACCTGTGATTATGTTAGGTACAAAAACTGTATTCCGAACCAAGGATATAAACCTGGCCAGGAACACTGGTTTTTGAGGCCTTGGCAGTTCTCGGCCTCTGTATGATCATTGTTAAGTCTAACCAAGAGAGCATCTCTTCCACACATCATTGAAAACCATAGAACAGCATATCTTGACTCCTGCCTGAAGTAGAATACCAAAATCCATAATTAAAACATGTCTGGGAAGGTACTGGAGGGATCAGTTTTATGGTCAGCGTCCTGTCCCTGGCTTAGAAAGTGAGATTTCTGGGGAGAGGATTACACTGTTGGAGAGGAGGCAAATTTATCCTCCACAGTTCTGGTCTGACTGAGGAGAAAAATCTAGATCCAGTCCTAAAGGTACCGACTGGTGTAACCATGAGCCAGAGGCCAGGAAACGCAACCCAGATGTCTGGGAGAGCAATGCAGTCAGTAGGCATGGGTGATGTCTGGTGCTTCAGAAGATGGTGAAAAATGAAAAATATAGTGTCCAAACGACTGTCCTAACATAAATTTTCCTTCACTAAGGAAACCAGTACTAGCCCTGAAGTATGGGATTAATGCAAAGTAAAATAGCACCAACAAAGAGTAAACCCGTGAGTTTAGTCCTGTCAATGAACATTTGCATCCTAATGGCACACGTGTTTCAACATGTTTTCTCAACGTTTTGATTGGAAAATTTAAATGAATGTAAGCCCTATTTATTTTAGAGTGTAGCTGCATCTGGTTAGCTGAGTTTGAGAAGACTTACAGCCTGGCTGGATAATGCATATCAATTTAGAGACACATCCTTACAGTATTTCTACTCCTGAATTGGCAAAGCTGGTTTAGCTAATGATAAGGTAATTTCTTATCAGAAACCTCATGCTATTTTTCTACTGCCAGATGGACTGAAATTTTCTTGTGTAGCTTTATTTCTGGTTTTGCTGTTTTCTATGTGCTATTGACAACAAATGAGATGCAATCCTCTTCACTGACAACACTGGTGATAAAATAGTGAAAATTTAATTTCTGTCCCATGTTCTGCTCTCCCATCTTTGTTCACCTAGTCATACAATATAGTGTTGCCTCACAACTTTCTTTTTAACTTTCTCTTTCTAGATCCTGTGATAGTCAACCACTCTCAGATCATCGAGTCTTTTTTTCAGGATGTATCCCCAGTATCTACTGTGGTAGTTGTACATATTAGTCAGTTGCTAATATGAAGAGGAATGGGAAACATGGAGAAGAGGTTTTCAGTAGGTAGTATTTTGTAAGAGTTGCACAAAAGATTTGAAAGAAAAATTATATGCTTAAAAAGAAAAAAAAATGTTTTAGATAAAACCTCTTCCCATCTCTTTCTCCAGGAATTTCACAATGGAAACATAGGTGAACAGGGATGGCTTTGACCATAAAGTCAGCCAGATCCCAAAGTGACTATGATGTCAGCTGGTACATACTAAAAAACTGTATATGGACTTGAGCTGGCAATTCATAGAAGAACAGACACCAAGGGAAATAAAAGAAAAAAATAAATCTGTGGCTTTGCTAAGGAAAAGTATGATGATTGAGTCTTCTGTATTAAAGCCACTGAAGATATTTAAGTATAACTGGTATCTCTGCTGTGGCCACAATTTTTATGTTCTGGTTAAAATTAATCTTGCTAGGAACAGTGAGAGAGCATGTCCTAATAGTTTGATGATCTGTGCTCCTTGACCTCAACCAACCTGATTCTGCTTAGGTAATGTTCCTTTTAGAGATACCAAGTGATAATCAGGTTGAAATGTAATTGAAACATTGAAAAATATTAAAATATGGAAAGAAAATGGGAATAATTAAAAAAAGATTGCCTTTTACTGTGTTTTTATTGTTATTTTTTTGAAATCTTGGAAGAAAAATGTTTGGAACGATGTTTGGAATTGAATTCAAGGAGAATGTTTTTTCTCTTTCCAGAAGATTTTAAATTAAAAATATCTTAAATGGGCTTAAGGAGATCAGTGATGGAAAGGAATTCAGTATCAGTGTCTGACATTACTTGCTAATCTGCTGTTTCCTTGTGAGAAAATACCATAATCTGTAGAATACTTGGGAAAATTATGTTGGGTTTTTGTGTGGGTTTTTTTTGTTTTTTTTTTTTTTTTTTGTTTTTTTGTGAGAATATAATTAAATGAAGGATATTCTCTTATGGGTATAATCCAAAGCCAGTGTTGGTTTGCAGTCTCTATGCAACTTGTTAACCTCAATTTCTAGGTCAATATTTACCTATATTCTATAGGTAAAGTGTTGCTTTTTCCGAAGGTATGCAGGAACAAACAGTGAGGTCCACAAAAGCACTTGGTCTCTTTTTAACAGCTTGATTTCATATGGAGTTAATTAATGAACTCTTCCATTTATTAGGCATTCTTGTTTCCATGGCCCTCTGAAGCTTTTATGTTTGAAAGTGTTGTTCTTGTGTGTCTGTAAAAGGCAGCTTAAAATTCTGGGTTTTGGCCCTCGTCTGACCTTCTAAACTGGTGGTCACCTAACTCTTATCTAACTTTCTGTATCAATGATGGATTTCGATGCTGTTTAAAGGTAGAGAGCAAGCTGCTTGTTTTCTAGACTACTTACAGCCTTCTTAAGTTTCTTGTCAGGTCTCATTGCAAAACCAGCATTCCCAGAGAAAACAGCTCTATCTACACACAGTAGAGACATTACTTGACTCCATTTTTCTCTTTCATGCATAATTCAGCATGCTTGCTATATTGTCTATTATAACTAGGAACTATAACAGGCACCTCTGAGAAAATGCCTCAAAGAGAAAGCAAGACGGGTGAGTGAATGGAGAACTCTAGACCTGAAACTGGGAAAAATGTGTGTGGTGCCAGATGGATATTGTTTCTGAGTTAATTAATGCCAGCTTCCTACAGGGAAAATGTTGTTTTGTTTTGTTTTGTTTTTTTGGCAGGCCAGTTAATTTAATGGATAAAATTATTCATTAGATCTTTGTAGGTAGTTTAATGAACAAAACAGGAAGAAACAAGGCAAAGTGATAGAAAAATTTCAAAAAATAATTTAAATATAAAGAAGAGAAAACAAATATAAAAAAGAGACAAGTTTATCTGATAAATGCTAGTTATGATGACAGCACATTATTCTTGTGCAGGGAAAAAAAAAAGGGATGACTGAAAGTAACTTTTTCTTCATATTGTGTTTCTCTGCAGGAATATGCTCCTTGTGTGGTAACGGTGTTCTCCTGTATGTCTCCTATAAGAAAAAGAATTTGTTGAAACCAGCAGAATACTTCATTATTAACCTTGCCATCAGTGACCTTGGTATGACTCTGACATTGTACCCTCTAGCTGTAACCTCCAGCCTTTCACACAGGTTTGTTCACTATGCACGTGATATTTAACATCCTCCGCAGGCTCTGGAGGGCTGTGTCAGTGATGAAGACTGAATTACTCTGCCACTTTGCTTGTCATGAAAGTGGAAATTAATTAGAGTGATTGAGAGAAGAATGCTTTGTAACAGCAGTCTTATGGAGTGCTGACGTTAGTGTTTGTGTCTATTGGAGGTTACTACCTTCTTGATTTCTGCAGAGCCAAAAAGATTTTTTGTTCCAAACATCCACTTCCTAGTGTGTTTATCCTTTATGGGTAGTATTATTCAAGTGACGGTGAAATGCTTCAGTTTTTTGTCAGTTGGACAGTGAAAACTGGTACCACAAAAAGAAAACCTTGAATTTACTTATGATCTCCCAACAGTAGTGCTAGTGCTGATGCATAGAAATGTGGTGTTCTGGATTAATTTTTAGGCCAACACTCGGAATGTAGAACTTCTTCCTTCCTTCCTTCCCCACTTCTCTTTATCCACATGAATTCAACCTCATATCGTTGTGCAAGATCTATTTTTTGTGATCTTCTTTTAAAGTTTGGGAGGTTTAGGAGACTCATTACCATACCTCAGATAGTATTTGTGCAATCCAGGCAGTATGAAAGTGTTTGAGAGAAGGGAACAAGATAGAAAAGCTGCAGGATTTGGGGTAGGATGGTATTTATAATATTATGGTTTATCTCAGTTATTGCAGAATGTCCCGCAACTGTACGGATGTGCATATACAGTGTTGATTTGGCTTCCCAGAACACTTTACTGAGAAACCTAGGAAGGCATGTTAAATAATGCATTTAAATAGAATTTATTTAACAAAAGAGATGGGAGCACCTCACCCAACATAATCCCTGGGTAATTTTTTCTTTTCAGTTAACCAAAATTTAAAAAATGGTTTTGGTTTGATGTGATAAAAATCTCACTCTGTCTTTCTCCCATCTAGTTTTCTCTCATTTTGTTATCAAAATAAAAAATAAGAGAAAAAAATCCAGTACTTTTCAGTTTTTACCACATACATTGCTAAATATATTAACTTATGGAGATGATGTCTTCAAAATCTAGAATGGGGCTTCTGATAACTGCTACTGCAAATACTGTCAGTGTCTGAATAGAAAGGGAGGATGTATAGAGAGTCAGATCAATTTTTTTTTTTTTTCTGGAGAACCTTCAGAAGAGAGTGTGTTGATTTTGGTGAAAACTAGTTTCAAAAATGTACCTAAAGATAGCAGAAATAATAATAAGATGCATTATTTTATGACCTAGGCCTACTAGTAGCAAGCGTTACAATTTTTCTCTTCAGAATGATAATCATTACGTTATACTGCTTTGTATTTAATAAAAATAAAATTAAAAAAAATTCAATGTGAATTATAAAAATTAAGCAGGACACGATTACTTTACTAGTTGTAAGTTTTTCCAGTGATAAAAACTTCCACTAGTTGATCATTGACCAACAAATAATTTAATCATGCAGTTTTATTGATTTTTTAAGGCTACAACTGTTAATATACTTCTACCATTTATTATTGCATTTAAGAAAGAAGGATAGCATCTAAGAATTAACTTTCTTGCTTATTTGCCAGGTGGCTATATGGGAAACAGATTTGCTTGTTCTATGCATTTTGTGGAGTGCTGTTTGGGATCTGCAGTCTCTCAACACTGACATTACTGAGCACTGTGTGCTGCCTCAAAATTTGTTTTCCAGCTTATGGTAAGCTAATTTTTCTGTCTTAAATTACTCAATTTTTCATGTCAACATAGACTGCCATTTCTGGATTGCATATCCTAGAGAGTATTTTTATAAAAGCTATCTTTTACATCCAGGCAGACAATTCTTATTTCTGTGATCATTGATAACTAACTATAGGGCTAGATATATGCAATTGATTAGTTTTAAGCTCTTTTAAGTCAGGGTGATAATTTAGAAACATGGAATAAGAGTTCCTATTTGAAAGCACTAATTTTGTCAGAGTTTATTGCTACATCTTGATACAGATTTATTCATAAAGATTTATGCTGTGCTAAGTGTCCTACATGTATCAGAGAATTCAGCTACCTATTTTTTTTTCAAATTGTTGTGAACCATGCCCTGTTCTTATAAACGTTCAATATGCTATAATATTTTGCAACTATTAAAGTTATCCTTCTTATTTATCCTGCTCAGGTGCCTGCATATGGGAAACTCCATGTAGACACGGCAACCATGCTTATCTTCACTGATTGTTCTGTGTCTTCCAGGAAACAGGTTCAGGAGAGAACATGGACAAATCTTGATAGCCTGTGCTTGGATTTACGCAGCAGTTTTTGCCTCTTGTCCCCTAGCTCATTGGGGAGAATATGGAGTGGAGCCCTATGGCACAGCCTGCTGCATTGACTGGCGTTCCACCAACATAAATGCTGTGGCCATGTCTTACACTGTAGTCCTCTTTATTTTCTGTTTTATTCTCCCTTGTGGAGTAATTGTCACTTCTTACTCTCTTATTCTGGTAACTGTGAAAGAATCCAGGAAAGCAGTGGAACAGCATGTCTCTGGCCCTTCCAGGATGAGCAACCCGCAAACCGTTACTGTCAAGGTACACAAAAGTTAGCCTTTGGCAGGATTTTTTTGGCATAGCTGGGGAGCACCATGTAAGGACCAAGAAAGTTCCTGAGAAGGGAATAAAGATGGAAAAGAAAATTGGTCCTTATTGCATTTTTATCTCAGACAACAGTATGGTCTTGTGTTGATTTGCTCCATGGCAATGAATTGCTAAACATACAACTAGAAGCCATGTTGTTTCTGGAGGGCGGTAATTGAGCTAAACTAGCTTCATTACTTGGGAAAATTAATATTTCAGACTTTTGATCAAAGGGAAGATTAAAAATTGGAGCACTAAGTTAAAGTGAGTTTGGGGCTCAGGCTCAGGCACTATTGCTTATGCAGTAAGCCAGTCTGAGTTAGTGACTTCTGTTTGCTCAGCTACAGACATCTGAGAAGATCCATGTGTAAGCTTTATATCATTAAAGAGTTTAAATAGTAATGTAGAGATCAAACTATCTTGTGTATGACTGAACTAAGGACAAAAATCACAGAAAAGTGTATCTCTAAATACTTTTTGAACATCTGAAGGTTTGCATTTCACTAGATTATACAGTAAAATTAAATCGGTGTTGCAGGAGTTGTGGAAATTTTTTCTTGTTGCCAAACTGTCCCTTTGCAGGAGAAGATCAGATCTTTCTTTTTTAATATACCAAAAATAAGAGGAACTTTGCAGCTGACATTAGGTGTGCTTTACTCTTAGATAATGTATCTCTTGAAAGACATGAGTGTTACCTCTTGACTCAATTATCTCCAGTAGAAAATCTTTGTCTTTGCTTGATTTCAGTGAATTCTTCTCTCACTTATCTAGTTATTTGCTTGCATGTTCTTCATAGTATCTTCCTTACCACCCTTCAAATTTCTGCTTGGAGTCATCTTTGGTCCTTATCTTCTCTTTCTGTTCAGGAATATGGATACTTTCATTTCCAAATACAGTTGGATATCTCACAGATCTGCCTATGTGTAGATGACCTTCTTTCTCTTTTCATACTAACAAACTTGGTCTCTTTGTGACATCTCTTCAGATTACCAAGTGCAGTGTAGCTGCAGTAGACATCTTAATCTGTCTCATCACTCCCTCTGAGTATCTTGGTTTTGACTGCCATGGGAAATGCCATCCTCCTGTCTACCATAGGGTCTTGTAAACAAAATATTTTCCTCAATCCAAGCAGTTTGAGAACTGAGTTATGTCCACATCTTACCTACACCTACTTTGTAATAACTCAAATAGAACATATCCCAGCTCTTAAGTATATTCCTGCCCCATTCTGGTCACTCAGTAGACATTAATTTTCTTAAGTATTTCATCTGACTACAAAATATTATCCTTTAATTCTTTAATTAACTTTTAAGACTCTTCATAGTTTGTCCTAATTGACCTCTATGCTCCCATTCAGCGAGACCAAGATACTGGTTACACTATATGCTCACAACACTCAGAAATGTGCTTGCATGTTCACAGAATCACAGAATCGCCTAGGTTGGAAAAGACCATCTATTCCAACCATTAACTTAACACTGACAGTTCCCAACTACACCAGATCCCTCAGCGCTGTGTCAACCCGACTCTTAAACACCTCCAGGGATGGGGACTCCACCACCTCGGTGGGCAGCCCATTCCAACACCTAACAACCCGTTCTGTAAAAGAAATGCTTCCTAATAACCAGACTAAACCTTCCCTGGCACAACTCGAGGCCATTCCCTCTTGTCCTATTGCTTGTTACTTGGTTAAAGAGACTCATCCCCAGCTCTCTGCAACCTCCTCTCAGGTAGCTGTAGAGGGCGATGAGGTCTCCCCTCAGCCTCCTCTTTTCCAGACTAAACACCCCCAGTTCCATCAATGCTACTTGTCATTCTTATAGTTCCTTATAATAAACACTGACAAAATGAAAACAATATCTCCTTGAAAACTTCCTTTGTGATGTTAACACAAAAAGTCATGCTGGTATATCATGGACGTTGATACTGGTTGGGCTGCTGGAGCACTATCGGAACTACTTATGTACTGACCAATATTTCTTCTTTTATTCCCTGATATTTTCCCCTCAAAATTACTGTCAGCTTCACTGTTAGATGGTAAACCCTTTGAGTTACTCTTAGACTGCTTATCTGCAGAGAATCTCACCCTGGAATAATAGTAATACAAACAACAATTTCTTATACATGATAAACTGGTAATAGGATGGTTTAAGTCAAAGTCATAAAGGCAGAGAGGAGAGAAGAGATGCTTTTAGTTTTTTTGTTTTTTGTTTTTTTTTTTAAGAAACTGATAAAACAAGCCACCCAAAACATGTCAATTTTGTGGTATACTTGGAATAATTATTTGCTGAACTGTATTTCTTCCTGCTGGATTTGAGCCACAGTACAGACTACTTTGTAGCACCCGTCAATTTAGAGACAATTTATAGCCCATCCTTCCTCCAGCCTGTTCCATCTTTCCTCTGACATTAGGTCACTCTAACTTAGGAGTCCTGGTCAGGTTTGACCTGTGCCTTCACAGTCTGATCCAGCTTCAGCTGAAGTGCTTGGACATTGCTTCAGTCTTGAAAAGCAAAATCCAGAAAATGACACTTAAAATGGGACTTAGACACTTAAGAGTCTAGCTAAGCCCAGAAACTGAATTATGGAAGCTCTTCCTTGACCACTGCCTATGCCTCAAGGCTCCAGGAAAATGCCACAGGTTTATCTGTAAGCATAAATGTTTCCCAGGTTCCTGCAGTTTGCTTTAATCTGTACTGTCCTGCACACTTAGTGGCTATCTCTTTCTAAACCATGTTAACATAACCAGATCATTAAGTTCAATTTAGGCCCACTTTAGTTTGTTTATTAGTAATTTAATATTTTTCTTAGAAAAATAACAATAAAATACAGATAACATTCGCTATCACTAATGTACTTCCCATGTTAAAAGATCTGTCTATAGTGTTTTTTTCTGTGATATTTTAGAATGACAATAGCAAGACTGTTAGAAAATGTAATGGGAGCTGAATAGTTTTCTTAGTGGTTTTGTGCTTGTGAATTTGCAAGGTTGGCTAACTACTGATATTGCTTTTATTATTGTATAGTGCCATAAAAATCAATTATAATGCATACAGAGGACACTATTGTTCTCATGTGATCTCTTCACAGATGCATGGGTTTGCCAGCTTCTGGAGAACACATGCTCTGAGCATATAGATAAGATGGATAAATATTATAAATATAAGTAGAGATGTAGAAAATTGCCTCTTCTCCAGGAGTTCCCTGGGATTAAGTCATTTCAGAAACACATCCTAGTTCCCCCTAGATGTTACAGGAGAAGAACCACCATGTGTGTAACTTCATGTCTCATCAAATATTTTCCCAAATACTATCTCTGAATGCTCTTCATTACATTCAATTTAAATAACAAGGGGTAAAACTCTGACCTGGGAGATTCTGTTCAATTTTTTGTTCTGATTCAAACTTCGTATATGACCTTGGACAATTCTCCTGGTACTTAACTTGAATTTCTTTGTGGCTGTAATTTGTGGTACCTCTGAAATAGCTGATTTAAAACACTGATATATCATTTGGCTGAATAGGAGAAGCTTGACTAATCCACATATCTCTCCTAAAATTTTTTATGGAAGAAACTGTGTGTCTAATTTTGTTCTTATGGAATGCAGTGATTTTCAGAGAAACAACACAAATCTACACACTATGGAGGTTAATTGGTCTTAAATTGGATTTCTATGATGCTTGAGGTTTTTTTAATCCTCATTAAATTATTTTTTTGTTAAATCAATAGAAATTTTACCATCAACATTAATGGAGGATGTTGCACTGCTTGTAAACTGGAAGTATTATATATCCACTGGTATAAGCAATCTTGAAAGCTGTGGCTAATTACAGGTGGGAAAAATCTATGAACATAATAGGAAATATAATTAAAATCAAATTGGATAAAGGTTACTCTTCAAAGAAGACTTATAGTTTAGAATACAAGATGCTAAATCTGTATAATTCATTGTAATGGGTAAATCTACTCCTGAAGTAAAAGAAGAATTACAGCTGTTCAATGCTTTTCTTGATTTTGTCCACCTTAAACAGATGCTTTAGTTACGTTAGTGCATTACTTACACTATTAACTGTATAATATTTATTGATTTGAGGTGGAGACAATTGGCTTTGGGCAAGCATGGGCGAATCTGGTTCACTGATAAAGAATGTGTCGAACATGTCTTACTGTCAGGCTTCTTATGGCAGAAAACAGACATTTCATTTGGGGAGAATGTGAAATTGAGATTCTGTTATTTTAATATAGATGATCACATTTATGGCTGACTTCTGTTAGCAAGCATAAACGTTGATAGTAGTGAAGAGTGAAAGAAGAAGTGCTTTTAGATTCCTATGTAAGAATGGCTCAGAAAAACCCTTCCATAACGCTTTAGATCTTTCAGTAAAGTTGTCTTCATTTTTGTATGGTCTCATTTGACTAGTTCATTACACCCTAGGCTTTCCAAATGAGCAGGTCCTATGAAATCATGTATACTTTTTGTAAGCTGTGTGCTAATCGTAAGACTCACATTAAAATATATAGGCAGCTACAAAAAAAATTGGGGCTGTAGCAATTAGCTTTAAAAATGTTTTTTGCCATATTTTAGCAAGACAGTTGAAGAAGAATTACCTTATCTTGCACAACTCAGCACGATTAAGCTCAGCAGATACAGTGACATGCTGTCTCTAAGTACATATAAAAGAATAAGTGAACAAAATGATGCCAGATTGCTTAAAAAAAATGCTGCCAAAGGTCTGTTCCAAGGTCTTGAGAGCAGAGTAATCATTGGAAAGACACCCACTGATTTCTTTTAGAGTAGACACCGGTATGAATCAGGTGGGTTTTTTTCTGAACCACAGTACTGTATCAGTAGTTTATTGTTTTTACTTTTTTTACTCTTTTGTGATTTGTTGAAAGAAGGGAGGAGTAAAATTCATTACATGAATTTTTGAAGCTTAGCCTGTGAGTTTCTAAT